ATTGCTCAGACTGGTAGTTGATTAGAGTGGAGAGAGGTGCCAGTATTATCTGTGTTAGTGCTCCAGAGGTCATCCTACACTAACAAGACCGCCCCAGTCAGGGATGACAGAATCCAGCTGTTGCGCCTTCAGCTGAATGAGAAGAATCCACTTAATGCCAGGGATGCATCTCAAAAGATTAACTATTCTAACTAGTTACTTTCCACCTCTGAAAAATGTCTGACTCATCATTATTGTCCTCTTTTTAGCAGAGGCCTATGGTATACATGAAACCATTTACCTTTTTAACCTCCTGAACTGCAAGGCACCAAATACACATTATTTTAAATGGATAAAACAAAGTTCTAACTTCACTGATAACTGCTTAGAGGTGAGCTCATGTAACAGAGGGTATCACTCTATCTCAAAGAAATATGCATATGCGCATTTTAGATGTTTAAGCAGTCTACTAGACGTGCCAAGTTCCTTGGCATGCGAGTTGGGATCTGTAAGACAACAGGAACACAACACAAGCACACTTGCAGTCATTATATAGCACGGCTACAATATACTCAGGAAATCTAACAAGCATCCTTAGGTAGAGGCTTAATATTTTTAAAATGCTTTAATAAAAACCTAGTGTTAAATATCTTAGTTAGATCCCTTTTTTATAGCACTCTCTTGGTAACCTGAAACTTTTTCCTGACTAACACTTTCTTGTATGTTGTTCCATGGGGTTTTTGTTTTGCTCTTTAGGAGGATTCAAGTTAACATGGCTCTTGCTTCCGAGCTGCTCACGTGCTTGCCTGTCAGCATCCGTGGGAATGTCATCTTGGCTCCGGGGCTACAGATTTATTGCTTGGCCAGCAGAGGGTACCAGAGTTTTCTAATGACTTCACAGACCCGAAGGGAAAAACAATGCTGAGGTCAAAGCATACCTATTGTTTCCTTTCATTTCCCACCGAAGCTGATTACTCTGGGTTGTTTTTTGATAAGGTGGTGGGAGTTTTTTGGCTCTTGAATCTTACATTAGACAGGACCGATGTCCAGTTTTCTTTCATTCAAGTGACCCTGCCTAACAGAAAAGACATTTAAAATTCACTTTATTGTTGAGCGTGGTTTAACATGCAGAGCCTTTCTTGATATTGGAGTGTGGGTTCTTTCAAAAGCTTCAATACACTTGGATTCTTTAAAATACTTGGCTTCTAGAGTGCTGAAAATAAGAAGGTATTTTCCACACTCAAAAGAAAATTTGTACATTCCGTCATAACTGAACCAGAGAATAAGAGAAAGGCCTCTGTTTTTCAGTAAGCATTATCACTTGTACATTCATAGAAGTCTTATTCCAGAAATAGATTCTATTTCTTTCAATCACCATTTTGATTTTGCTGATAAAGCTGATGCTTAATATACCAACCTAGCATAAATTCCCTATTTCCTGATGATAACAGCATTAGTGTGAATGCAGAAACACAGATATGCATTCCCTTCAGCTCAATCCTGAAGTGGAATAAGCTGATTAAAGATGGTGGAAATTTCACAGGAAGGTTTTCCCAAAGTTTTGAGGGTTTTCCTTGTTTGTTACATTAAAAATACAAATCTTGCCTATATTGTTTACCCCAGAGCTTGCTTCAGTGGCTGGAGATTGAGTGAAATGATGACAACACAAGAACCCAGGAAGTAAAATTTGATCCAATCGGATGTTATTTCATCCTCAGTTATTCAGAGATGTTAGTGACATAAGCGATCATGCCATCATGTAGTCTGACTTCTTACATAACAGAAACCATGGAATTTCACCCTGTAGTTCCTGTACTGTGTCCAATAAAAATATGGTTGAATTACAGCATAGTGTTTAGAAAGGCATCTGGTCTTGATTTTAGGAGTCCGGGTAAAATGTTTGTTCCTAATGCTCAGGTCATTCTAAAATGGGATGGGCACCTAATTCACTTAGACTTTTAATATTTTAGTTCTCTCTTTGAAAAATGCCTGCCATGATTGGTATGGAGCCATACCAACATAAAACTAACTTATTGCCTAATGTTGCTTATAGTGATTTCTGTAGAGAGGGAAAACAACACGGACCTACTGAAGACCTTACTGTTTCTTTAGTATTGTAAGGATCTTCACCTCTCATTTATCCTTTCCAAGTGCATTTTTTATTAGAAGAGATTCATAATAATTTCTTGCAGTGTAATAAGAAAAATAAAATAATTTTGAGTCAGAAAACTAGTGAAATACATCCTTAACATTTATATATTAAAAATAATGACAAAAAAAAAAACAAAACAGATTAATAGAAGGCTCTAACTTTGCCAATGTAGTACTGGCACTTTGGAAAACCTGAGTACCAAAGCTTTTCAGCTGTGTACATGGCCAAGCAATTTTGAGGACTGTATCTACATCCTCAACAAGAAATTCATATACTGTGATTACTCTTTCTTTATGTAGCTTTGGTCAAAATACTCACAGAACTTTCCAGAGCTGTAGTTGACCATGAATACATGATCAACAAACAATATCTATGAAAACAGTATATGAAAACTGAGGCTGGGAAAGGACAAAGTGATATGTGAAATGATCTAATACACTTTCTTGGTCTGCATCGTCCAGTTGGAGGATTTCATGTTGAGAAGCATGAGTGCTAAAGAGTAATTCTTAAATTCTACTCAGGTAGGGGAAAACCTATCCTTCATCTTACCATCCAGTTGGGCAGTCATCAAGGTACTGTCATTATCAAGAGCCTCTTATCTGTAGGTGCAAAGAATGGGACAGAAGATGATAGGCACTGCCATCATCTTTACCATTGGTGAAGTCTTTTTTCCATTCCTGTTGCAGCTGATGATGAGTAGAAGTCACTGCTGGTGGGCTAACAAAAGCACAGTGGGCGGAATGGTATCTGCTTGCAGGGATATCAGCTGGGGTGTGCTGCCACGTAGTGTCTGCACCTAAACCTCACCTTCCAGATACCTCAAGGTGCCACTGAGGGCTTTGAACTAGAAGAGGTCAAATGTAACCTTTCTAGTGGAGCACAAGGGTCTCACAGAGGGATAGCAGCAAACACCTGTGTAGAGCGAGGGAGGTAGCAATGGCCAAAACACTGTCAGATTATTTGTTTGCAGAGTCAGAGCCCTCAAACAGTTTATGCCTTAATTCTCTTAAATTGCCCACATCTAGGACATTCAATCATGAGGACAACCATGTCAAAGAGAGAGAGATCCTTACAGCAAGCAGGAATAAGAGACTTTAATTTCTTATTCAGTTAGAAAGTGACATGAAAAGAAATTTTAAAATGGTTGTAGAGGAGACATGCAGAGGAGGCATAAATGAGATTGAAATAGAAATTTTCAATATATAAAATAAGTTACTAAAATATTCCTACCCACAAACAAATATATTGTATCTATCCTAACTGCTTCAAAGTCAGATAAGAACTTCTGTTTTTCATTGATGGTTTTGAAGATTTAGCCAGTTATTTTCATGGAGAATTGCAATGTCACCATTTAATCAGAACAAATAAGAGATCACAGAACAGGCAATGTTTGTTGTTTGTTTCCTTAAGATCAGTAAGAATGCAACATGATAAATAGGAAAATTAGACTGCTTAAAATGTTAGCTCAATAAAGGACATCACACATTGTTTATGGATTGCAGTGAGGTTTGGCAATTATTTTTTTAATTGTTCCTGCATTACTTGTGGGCATGTGACATAATTTATGCTGTTATGTTGTCAGGCTTCTGATCACGGGAAGGACTATTTGTTTAGACTGTGTAGCTCTTCACTTTAATTCGCTCTGGCTCCAGTGTGACATGTTAAAACTACTATCAATGGAAAATCCAAATTTCCCAGAAAGACTTAAAAAAGCACCCTCAGTGAACTGAAATTATCTCCTCTTAAAGCTAATTACCTTGGTATACTTAAGCAAGTAGCACTATAGGAAATCTGTTTCTTTAGACTTTCTTCTATTTCTTTAAATACCTCGGGTCAGCATGAATAATTATTGTTTGCTTTTATTGCACTTTCTTTCATTATTCATCTGCATGCCTCTGAAAGGACACCAAACTAAAATAATCCAACAAATTAAGAGCAATTTTTTGAGACACACATTCATTATTAAAACACAAACAGAAAATATTTTCACCTTTCAATTTATGTTATTAGAAAGAAAGCACTGTGAGGTTTCTATTTAATAGGAAGCTTTAAAGCATTAATGAGTCTCACAGGGAAGTTATTGCAAGTAAATACGGAATGTGTCCAAAATTAAATACATTCTACAATTTTTTGTTACCTAAGGGCTGGATGTAGGAGAAGTGTGCATCAAAAGTCACTTGCTGATGAAAGCAACACATGATTCTGCATTATATGTCTTCTTCTTTCAAGACAGTCCACCTACCATGTGCAATGTGGCAATTTTCCCAGTCCACAAGAGTGGGTTTGGAGCAGTTTCTTTATTTTGACTGACCCAAACATAACTTTGGCAATGATTTTAAAGCCCCAGATTCCAAGAATTTTATGACCTCACAGGAGCTGCCTTTTATAGGGGCTAACCTGGGAGTGGAAACTCTCATACTCCAAAGTCTTCAGCGTGGACTGGAGCAAATGGGCTGGCTGACGTGCTACCAAGGTGAGAAGGGTTTGTGAGGAGAGACTTCAACACAGCTCACTATCACCAATATCCTACTTCCATTTATTTTTATATAAATTAGGCATTGCTTTCCCAGACTTATAATTAAGAGAGTTCTTTCCCTATTAGTGCTGTATGATTCAGCTCATCCTTTGTGCAACTCAGGCATGTACATATGGACTCCCCTACACCTATTCAGACTGGAGCTGTGTTCATCCCTCTCTAAATAGGTATTATTGAGACACTGCCAAATGCACTTTGTCACAAACACCTTGTACTGATTTTGTTTCAGCAGTTAAATGTAACAAATAGTTGAGACATGAAAATAAGTAAGGAATTATACAAAAAAGTTAATTTATTTGAAATGAATGAACAATAGGTCAGTATTCCTACACCTTTTCTAATCCTGGATTATCCATGTGGAAAATAACCATTACTCTCCTTCATTGCCTGTTTAGTACAAGTTAAGGAAAAACAATGAAAAAAATTTAAAGCAAGTTTTTAGATACAGTCTTCTTTTTTATTGTCATGGAAACAAAGAAAAACACTGCCACAGCAAATAAAAAATCAAAGCACCTTCTGCAAGCAACCATAATTGCTCACATATCTGCTTGTCTGTTCATCACCCCAGTATCATTTGTCAAGCTCTTTGGACAAAGATTAATTTTTAGCCCAAAAAGCAGCAAAATGAAACCTCTAAATATCATTATAATTTTAGTAATCCTCCCAGTAATATTACTCTTTATCCTAGACTTTGCTTATGTACTCTTCTCTTTTTCTATGCTAAGATATTGATCATATTGTAAGGAGCTTGTCACGTTGAACATCTCTCCACTAGATTAGCTAGTTTAGAAATACTTTCCTTTTAGAGGTCAGTATTCATGTTTAGAAGAAAGAGAAAAAAATATTGATGTAAAAAGGCTGCTGTAAATAAGACATCTAGAAGAAAAGGGATTTTTATATCTATGCTATTTTCAGAAGTGAGCTAAAGATCAGCAGTCACAGAGCTGCGAATCTCTTGTTATTTTAGCCCAAACTACACAGGATGTTTTCTATGGCCAAAAAATCTCTTAGGGAAAAAACTCTTCATGAACTCCTGGCTACAAAGTCATCCTGCAAAAGGGAATAACACTGCTAATTGCATAGGAAAATAATTCTTCTTATCAGTATCCCCTTTTGGTTCTATTCTTGTCTTTCTGGTTTAGGGATAGGAATGACACTTCCTAATAAGCTGCATTTAGTATGCTTCTCAGTAACATGATAGTGGAGAAATGCATTGATTTTCTGTGCCTTCCATAATGAAATCTATCTAGTTTTTATCTTTCTATAACAATGATAATGATAATAATTTGCTTTAAACCCTTGTGACAATCCCTCTATTTTATCCAATAGCATATAATGATGATCTTAGAAGTTTATGAAATATTTTCTTTTCAGATGGATAATAGTCATCTCTCTGAACAGAATCAGAAAAACTATTTACATGGATGAGAATCAAAACTACTTGAACCATAAGTTAGAAAACAAGAAAATGTAGACTGCTTCTTCAAAGGCATAGTCCAGATGTGAGACGTACAAGCTAAAATGCTCCCTGCAACAGACAAGTCTAAATTCTTGTGTGTAACAAGTGCACATTAATGCTTCCAGGAACCAGTTAGGGGTTTTTGGTTTTGGTTTGGGTTGCATTAGGGTTTTTTGATATTATGTATTAATTAGCTAAATTCTGTAGCAAAATGTTTAAAAATCCTGCAGCAAAAGCAGATTTCTTACCATAAAAAAGCAACCAAAGAAAAATGGACTAGGGTAGACTAGGGAGTAGAGTAAGTTATTTATTTGAATGCAGTTTGGGTTTAGCAGTTTAATTTTTTATCAATTTTTTTTAATTTGTGGTACACACACAAGCATTCTACATGTACATATTTGAGCAACATAGCATGTTCTAGTGGTCAACATGAAGGTAAGCTTAATATGTAATATGTAAAAATGAACTAGGATATTAAGTTACTAAAAGTTATTGGAAATTAGGATCCAGTAAGAACTAGTGCAGTTCAGTGCACTAGTATTGAGGTTAAAGACATGAGGAATCAAATATATCCAGATGTACAAATATTCAACAGGACTCTGAAGGTTTATTCCTTTTTTTTTTCTTTTTAAACAAAATCTGAAGCATCCCGCATATATTTTTGGGTCTTTTGAAAATGCTTTCCCAAGTATTTAGACACCATGGTGGGAAGTTTTTTTTCAACCAAAAAAGAGCAAAGAGGAGATAGAACTTCAAATCTATAGTAAAGCAGCAGCAAGAGATAGCTGGTGACACCTGAAAGTGACTGGACTGCTGATTGTCATCAAGCAAGTTGCCTAAATTTTAAAGAGAACAGAAAACCTGTTAATTCCTTTATTTTTGAGGGGGTTGTGACATTAACATTTTCTTGCGTATTTTGACATCCTGATTTGCAGCTTGGACATGCCTGAGCTAAAGACCTTAGCAACTTTGGGAAAGATATTTATACGCAATTCAATCAGGGCAAGTTCACAAAAAAGTTGGTGTCTTGCTTTGACGTAATGAGTTCATGCCTGACTTTGTGATTCTAAAGGTCCTTAGATGGGAGTGAAAAAATAACAGAGACATTCTGGGGTAATCTTTAGTTATTCTTTGACTGACCTCTTGGAGAATGACTGGATTTCTATTGCGTGGACATTTGTGGTTGGAGCTGAAGGAGGGGCAGGCTTCCAGAAATGAGAAAGTCTGAGAACAGCTGGAAAATGGCTCTAAAGATGCTGTGACAGGATCCGGAAATATCTGTGGTATGACAGAAATGGTGGAGGAGTCATGAGATTATATTATGCACAATTATTACAGCTCTTTTTTTCTGCACCTCACTTTAATTTCTTGATGAAACAGAGCTTGGGGATCCATTGTTTTACACTATTTCAAAAGGTAAAACACAGGATTAAACCTCAAGTTTACCATAAAGAAATCTCTGAAAAAAGGTCTTGCAGTCAACACAGGAAACATTTTAAAATATAAACTTTGTAAGTCCTATTTAAAATAACTTTAATTAGAACATTCTGGAGACTAGATTTACTAGTATCCATTCTTCAAAATGTTGTACTGATGTTCAATTGTTTAAATTTAAATGTATAGTTGAGCACAAGGAACACATTCCCATATGCTTAATTGGCATCATTCTGTCCAGCCAATTCAGGTTTCTCATTCTCCAGTCTCATGGGCAATCACAGCATGCCTCATCTGGCTTCCTCGAAGCTTGGAAAAAACTCAGCAGCTTCACAGTCCTTTACAAGTTCTTCTGATCCCATTCAACAAGAAGTGCTGAGACCACCAAAGCCAGCAGCATTTCAGCCCGTGTGCCAATAGCTGGGTCAGTGACCAGTGAGACCAAACCTCTGTAGGCCCAGCAGCATTTGAGCTACAAGATACTGCTTTAAGCCTTCTTCAGCAGAGGCTTCTACAATGATAGGTGAGAAAGGCCAACTGCTAGCTCTGTCCACCTATATTTGTAAGTTGTCCCTACTATAATTAACTCACATGCCGAAAATACTGAGGTATTTCCTGCTGGGCAAATGTCCTTTACTGAGGTCTCTACTAACCTTTCACCCTGTGTTCCACAATGCTCTATCCAAGTTCCCTGTGCTTTTCAGCCAGCTTAGGCTACACTGTCCTGCCCTGCTGCAATATAGAAACTCAGAATTTCTAGTCTACATCTGAAATTCTCACTCTCTACTTTTTCTTTCTCTGGGTTGAACAAATTCAAGATAAAGCCTGTGAATTACATGAATCTCAGTTCATTAGTCTTACCTTCTTCTCAATATTTACTGCTTTTTCATTATCTCACTAAAGCTGGTGATTTAACAATTATTAGATTTTCTCAGAAGCTGTGTTGACAATCATTGAAATCTTCATTATTCATGAAAGAAGACATCAATGTTTCAGTCTATTCAGGCTATCTAGTCAGATTTGGAGGTTTCTGCTAAAATGGAGAAGATTTACTTTTGGCTGGGTCCTTTGTCTAGGCTTGTGTCAAATTTATATTTGATCTTTGACACGGGGATATTAATCTGAAGTTACTCAGTTATTTCTAATACCTATAAAAATCTAATTATTTACAGAACTTTTGTTCTATTAGTGAAAAAACAAGGAATTAATTACCCATTCAAAGAAAAAAAAATATAAAAGGTGTGCTGCTGAAGTGTGTAAATGCCACAACTTTATGGAAATTTACTTTGGTAGGTGTTATACAAACCTCCCAACAAGTCAATTGTGTTGCTATAAGACACTGCCTAAGTTCTCATTAAAAGATTTGGCCTTGGTCTCTGAGGTCAGGCCCCAAGAGGCTATTTGATTCCAAATGCAGATGTAGCCTAACCTGCGTTGACTCACTACTTACACCCCTTTCCAGGAAAAGAAATCTGATTTCAGAATTTTCAACATCTAAAAAGGACGCTTCCATGAATACAAGAAAGAGGGGGATGAGTGTGATACACACTGTTAGGAGCAGTGCCTTTGTTAAGGAGACAGCTTTACACCTTGGCAGCCCTTAGATCTGCTGACACCACTGCCCAAACTTGAGTCACATGTTACCATACACCTGACCAACACAAGCTTTTGGAAAAGTCTATAGTACAGAAGTGAGCTGGGAGGTAGCATGGTGCTGAGACACAAGGAAATGATTGGAAATGGTTTGGAAGAGGCAGCTGTATAGTGTAGGCTTTGAACATGAACAGATTAACGCCCAACTAAAAGAGATTAAAGACAACATATAAACAACCCAGCTTGGACCAGGGGAATGATTTTCATTATGTTTTTCCAGCAGAACCCAGTGTCTTTCTACAGCAAATTCTGTAAACTTACACTTCTGGCTCATTTTTTCCTCGTCACTAGGCTATACAACTATGCTTGTGGAACTATTCCTGGTTAATCCTATGCTATGGTACAGCCACTCCTTTCTGTCTGGAAATGGAAGAACATTTCCATGAGCTGCAGATGCCAAAACAAGAGGCAGGAAGGGGTTACTTTAAAAATGGATGAGTGCACTCTGGGCTTAAATTAGGCCTACTAGAAGTGGGCAGAGAGTTTTCCTAGCTCTCATAGACAACTTTTATCTCAGCCCATTTATCCTCTGAAGATACCTTGATAAAAGTTCAGACCTGCCCTTCTAATAGCAGTACTGGTTTGGTCTTCTAAGACTGAACTCTGTAATGCAGAACTCTCACAAATGCATAAAGGTATTAGGCAGCTTGAGAAGGAGAAGGACCATGAGTCAGGCTGGGTGTTCAGAGGAATCCACTACATTTTTCATTGAAAAAAAATTAATAAATCCTGCCTTAGAGGGTTTCTGCAGCACTCAAGCAAGAAGTGCAGCACTGCTGCTCTGTCTTGTGAACATAAGTGTCCTTCTATTCCACCCTTAGATGCTGGTGGTCAGCTGGGCCATGTCCTGTTCTCAGAATTTGGCCAAGTATAAATATTTACTGGAATTTTTGTTATAAGAAAAAGGTCAGCACAAGAGAACAGACTACGTATCAGTCCTTTTTCCTTCAGAATTAAAGCTCCTTTGTTAGTTTTCAAGAACCTGACTGCGTAAGATTTACTTTCCCTATCTTCAAAGCATGGCCATTTGGCACATAAGAATGGCTCTGTGAGTTCTCCAGCTGACTAATCTCAAAGAAACTCTGCTAACTTACTCAAGGCCTGTGTCTGACCAAACCACAACAAATTGTGCCCCACATACCTTAAGAAAGAGATGGGAGATCTCTTAAATAGAGGAGAGGAAATGACATTTTGCCATCTGTAAGCATCAACAGAAGCCTCTTCATTGAAACTGGAGTTTTCAGTCAGCATTGTATCAGCAGCTGGAACTAACTCCACTCAGAATGCTGATCTCAAATTGCAACTGCATTGTAGCAAACACTAGAAATCAGGAAGAGGCTGTTAGGGAAATGACCTCCTCTTACCTGCCAGCTGTATAAGAGCACATGCTGTACCTGCACCATCTGTGGATACAGCTTCACTGTAATTTAAAGTGTAAAAGCCATCATATTTTTCTGTCAGGATTCAGGACTCCCAAGTGTACACTAATATGTAAAACACTTTGTTGGTATAAGGTCCAATTGCATGTGCACATATGTCAGCCTTTACTGAGGCTCACTAAGTCATTGTCAGGCAGATGTTGTTTTGCCAGGTGTGCTTTTGTAGAACTTACATCTGGATAACTTTCCCAGAGAGGATTTTTAATTTGGAGATGGGCAAACTCAAAAAGTTTAGAGGTTGAATTAAATAAGCATCTAAAAACCTGGATGATTATCTAAACCAAATCAAGATCCCTAAAATAAGAGTATAGGCCTTACAGAATAGACAAAAATTGTATTATTTCCCTGCCATGATGACTTGTTAAATTTGCAGATTATTTCAAGTCACATTTTTGCAAACTACAAAGTTTTGTTTAAAAACTTTGCAACTTTTTAATGCAACTTTTATGCAACTTTTGTTGCATAAAGCTTCAGGTCAGTTTTATTTTAGCCAAATTATTTTCCTAGTCCCTACTTCAAAACCTTGTGAACCATATTGCATTCCATTTAACCTAGGTGGAAATTTTCACATTATTTTGAATAAAAAAGGGAAAGCTTTCAGCTATGCATCTTATGAAGTATATCTAATGCAAAAAGCAGAAACTCTATATAGAAATAAGGCTTTAACTTGCCTTTTATGTTTTGATGGGAGAAAGAGGATATTGCTACCAATACCAGTGGTTCAAAAGTCACTTTTTTGTTTCATTGTGAGAGAGCTTTATACTTGTAATTTGGGGAAGTTTAATAAAATGCCTCACTTTTCTGCTGTAGAAAACTAACTAACCTAAAATGAGAAGCAACTAAGTATTAGGTAGACTTGGGCAGTTTGGAAGGCTGGATGCTAATAAACATAATTCTTCCCCTATACATGTAAAACATTTTAAAGCTCTTGACAGGCAATAATAAAAGTTTGACCTGATGACTGGATTTGAGGGAAGAATTAGCAATAGATAATTCATTAAAAAGGCATGGCTTATTTCCTCACCTAGAAATATTCCTCCAGAGGAAACAAAAATTAGTGATGGAATTTTCTGTCAAGGTTAACAGAAAATTCTTTTCAAGTCAATGAAATTACTCCAAATAATTCTCTCCACTTACTGATTATTTATAATTCTGTGGTGATAACGTCTGATAATATTACTTCATCATTAGTCATTTAGTAACTTCTTTTAAAAGTCCAGCATTTTTTCTGTGAAATATTTTTCTTGTATAAATAAAAAAAGTTTGTCTGATGGAAGATATATTCGTTAAAAATACGTGAGAATTTCACAGAAAAAAACATTCTAATTCACAGAATTGCTTATTGTGAAATGCTACCAAATATTTCCAGAATAATTTTGTAAAATGAAAGCAATTGAACTGCAACCATTGCCAATAAATCAATTGGTTTGTTTGGGATATGTAGAAATACAATGACTTCTACTGATATAAAGTCATTAGAAGAAAACAATCTGTAAACATAAATGTGCAAATAGGAATTGCACAGTTCTCTGTACTTTTGACTACATTTGCACCTTTACAGTAGGGTATAAACACACATTTTTGGAGAGCCTTTATTTTGCTGCACAAGTTCTCAAAGTTCTCAATGCTACTGCCTTTCAGACTGCATATAGATGAACACGAACTCTGTAGACTCTTCTCATCTGACAGATTTGCTATATTATATATTTCATTATTCAGTACATTGATGCTGAAAAAATGTGAAATGATGGAATCACAGAATTATATAAGTTGGAAAAGACCTCCGAGATCATTGTGTCCAGCCTCTGACTGATCACCACACTGTTAACTAGACCACGGCACTAAGTGTGATTTTCAGTCATTTATTGAACTCTTCCAGGGATGGTGCCTCTACCACCTCTCTGAAAAGATTGTTCCAATGTTTAACAACCTTTTCCATCAAGAAATTCTACTTGCTGTCCAACCTGAACCTGCTCTGCTACAGCTTGAGGCTATATCCTCTCGTCCTGCCTCTTTTTGCATGGGGGAAGGATCCAGCTCCCACCTGACTACAGCCTCCTTTCAGGTGATTGTAGAGAGTGATAAGACTCCTCAGAGCCTCCTTTTCTCAGGCTAAACAACCCCTGCTCCCTCAGCTGCTCCTCATAACACCCTTCACCAGCTTCATTGCTCTTCTCTGGACTCACTCCAGCCCCTCAATGTCTTTTTTGAAGTGAGGGGCCCAGAGCTGGAGCCAGGATTCGAGGTGTGGCCTCATCAGTAGTACACACTGGATCAAGTTCAACAGCACCCCCAAGTTTAATCAGTACCCCCAAGTCCCCTTCCCCTGGGGAGCTTTCCAGCTACCTCCCCTAGTCTGTAGTGCTGCATGGGGTTGTTGCGACTGAATATATGAGGCTAAATCAGAAAAGACTGAAGGGCTGTTGGAATTGATATTAAAATTCCAAGAATTTTAATATCAATTTAACCACCTTGCTTTCAGATGAGGATATATGTTAAAAAGCAAGTAAGGTACCATGTTATCTTGAGATGCATCAGAGATGAGTCCTATTGGTCAGTCTTCATCTAGCAAGGTGTTTTTAGGGGCTCTGTTTGCAAGTTAATTGGCTTACATTTATTCATGTATTGTTTATACTAAAAGCAGACTTCTGTTAAGCATCCCAGGTAGATCTCCTCAAGCTTTTTAAAGGTGATTACTATTAAAGCCTCATGCAAGATGTTAACAGAAATACCTTTTCCTCTCCTGAGTGTCACACTTCTGGTCACTCTGCCAGGACTCCAATTCCTCTCTTGCAGAAGTTCTGTGAAACGAAGTGCATAAGATGGTGAAGAGGAAGTTTCAGCAATTAGTACACAGAAACATCTAAGAACTGTTCTGCAGCCAATAAATACCCTGAATATATATTAAAAAATTATATTTTTTTAATATAATAAACTAAATTACTTTAGTATAGGCTTTAAGATAGCTTAATTACAATAAAACTAAGATAAAAAATTCGTAAACATGTATTTAACTTTTCAGTTGACCAGGTGTGTATTGCAAATTTATGATAAATTCCAAACCATGAAAGTATCAAAGTGTTTTGTTGGTTATTTCAGCCAATCTTTATTCTACTGTGGTAATTCATGATTAGTCAGGATATGAGCTTTGGGATTATGTTCAATATGGAAAAATAACTAAATTTTAAAAAATACATATATGTATATACATAAACCCATATTTGTTATGATAGGTGCAGGACTGACAGTTGTATTAAAAAACATGCTTGCAATCTACTGAAAAAAATGCACCAATTGTATTTGCTTCCTTTACAAAATAAAATATTGTTTGTTCTTTTCAGAGCTGGCCTTATTTTTACATGAAAAGTGAATTTTAAGATAAGACTATATTTTCAAACATAAAAGGATTTTCTTTATCTCACTTCCTGACACTCTGCTTTAGCTGCTTTTTCTTTAAAATAATCATTTGACCTTTTAAATTACTAGAACTGGAGATAAAACATCACAGAGCCTTCGGAGATGACAGACAACTGATCAAATAATTTTCAGTTGCTCTATCTGTATCTTAAAGCAGTGGGTTGCAAAATCCAGCCACATTTGAACAGCATCAATCTGGCTTTCTGTCATTTATTTATAAAATTTCTTTTATGGTCACAGAAATCCATGGTAAAACTGACCTGTAAAAGAGTATCTTTTTCCAGACTGTTATGAGAAAAGAATAAACAAAACATGGGAACTTATCTCATTACATTGGAAATTAGCTCAACCTCAAAAGAGGGTGCACCTGCTAAAATAATTGTCTCTTTCTGGTATTTTCCATGTAATACTCCTTCACTGTGCAATGCAGTGTAAGTAAATCAGCTATCTTTTAAGTAGACCTGGTGGCAATTAAACTTGATTAATAGCTGCTGTGATTGCAAGGTATTAGTCTTTTCTTCTTTCAAACTTGCTATTAATATGAATTTTCAACCCAAGCATAATTTTGTGAAATGTTATGGAATCTGAAGACAGACAGAAGATGTTTAAGAGTACAAAATGAGATTATAGGCCATAGATATCCTTTTAAAAAGTTGAATAAAAATGAATTGAGGTCCAGGAAGATCAGACAGAGGAGCTCCATCTCCTCTTTTACCAGACCTGGGGTTGAGTCTCTGTCATGCAGTGATAAATTTGATCAGATATGCTGGCAGTGTGGCCAAAATGATTCACGTCTTCTTCTTGTGACAGTTCCCTACAATTTATGTTACATGCAAAATTTTGGTCCAGATAAACTTAACCAAAAAATGCAGCCCAACAGTTTAATCATGACAGATATGTGCAATGTGTGCTAAAAAGCACTGCAAAAAGAGCATGGACCACTAGAGGTCTGAGCATGAAGTCAGATGTGTGTTATTGTCTACCCACACAACCTCCAAAGAAGTTTAAAGGAAACACCTTGAGACTTGTGTGGATTTTTATTAACCCTGCACTGTGAATTGATGGGGTGCTGGGGAAAAACAAACATAGGCAGAGAAAACATGAGGCCTGCCCTGCACAAGAGCTCTTTATTGACAGTTTATGACATAGGTTTGGAGTGGCCCAATATTGTTCCTACGACCTTTGCCTCCCAAAACTCATAGGCATTTTGAGACTTTGTTCACCCCTTGAGGGCCTGCTGGCCTTGTCACTGCAACTTTCTTCTCAGTGCTGTTCTGAGCATTAATCATGACCACTGGAGACAATTACAAGTGCTTCTTGCCATCCCTTGACCTAAATTTCTGCCAGCTTCATTCTCCTAATCTGCACACAGGCCTAGTTCAGGATTGTGACAAAGTACACAGGACAGATTAGTAGTGGGGTCTGCAGTTAACTTTGAGCTGGCATCCAAATTCCAAGCCCATGTTGGCCCAAATTCAAAATAGGTTGCAAGAGAGGAAAGGACACGCAGCCTATTTTTTAGGTTTTTTTTGGTCTTCCCCAGGAAGGGAAATTTCCCCATTAAGGAAAATGTTAGCTTGCTATTAAAAAACTAAATTAAGAATGGCTAATCAGTTAACTGCCTATAGATATATATATTTTAGTAAAGAAAAAATTAGTACAGTTGGGTTTGTTACCTATATGAGTATTAAATTTGATAGGTTAGAAAAGGTGTCTCCCTTGATCCCAGTACACCTTTCTGTATTATGCTCTGTTAAATTTTTTTTGCAATCACTTTCTTCTCAATTTTCTCCAAATCTTAAAAAAAACTGTTAAGAAAGTGGACACAGAAACAAAGATTTTGGCTAAATATTCTAAAGCCAAGAGCAGGCAAAATGTAAAAGATCAAGATGAAAATTAAACTTGCTTCAAAAGAAATCCAACATTGCTACCAGACTTCATGTTATCTAACAGGACTCATTAAAACAAAATGGAACAGAGCAGTAAAATAGATAATAAGTACACACTGAGCTCTAGGGCCAATTTTTCTGAGTGATTGAGTTCTTCGAGAGCTTGCAGAGATTAAAAGCCTGCAATCTATTTTCCTTACCACTGTTGTGTCTTGCCAAATCTGTCTTGAGAACTAGAACAGGAAATACCCTCCCAGCAGCTGTATCTGTAGATTTCTCAACTTGGGCTTTTACTCACAAACAGTATTCTGCATTTCTGGGGCATGGCCACATTTTCACTTCTATTTAAAAAGTTCTCAAATACATCACTTTGGCAATGGATGTTAAATACCTGTCATTCAAAAGAGCCAATAAAATGGAAAATTTCAACTAGGTTGTTGAAATATGACAGCCAAGAAAGGACAGCCAGTAGAAAACAAGATCTTTTGAAGTATCAATTCAAGCATAATAATAAATCTGTACAAATTGTAGTGCTCTTGTTCCCTTTTTTTTCCTTGCCTTCAGCTTCCACATCACAATATATGCAATACAATAATTTTTTTTTAATTGGTAAGTATTTATATGTTTGTTAGAACAAGTAAAAATCACCTGTCAGAAAATTCTGTGACATGAGCAATTACAAGAATATAGTACTACGTACACTATTTATAGTCCCTATAGGACACTTGGCTCCCAAGAGTGGGACACCTTAAAATCCTCTGAAAATGAAGATAAATTCAGAATCTGCTATTTTTTTTTTTAATTTAGAGATTGGTTAAGAAATTATTTCTATATGTATAGTCACACCAAATAGTTGCTTCATTAATATGTCAAACTTCTCCACAAACCACAAACTTTTTTTGGCATTTGTTACATTCTTTGGTAATGAGTTCTCAGCTGATCTCATCTGCACTAAGAACTTCTTCTCTGTTTGCTTTGATGATCCTTAGTTGCAATATTCAGAGAAATAACAAACAATTTAATGTCTTTTTAACTTCTCCATGCTAGTCACAAGCTTATTGGTCTCTTTCATGTTCTGCCTCCCCCATTCTATTTCTCTCCCTAAATGCTTTTTATTTTTTTGTTCAAAGCAGGTTTTTCTTTGCACTGATACAATCCTGTCCCCACTTCTCTGAATATTTTCCAGATCTACTTTATTTAGTTTTGAAATTCAAGGTGTCAGCTGGATTTAAACTGTTGTACAATGAAATAGAGGTTGAGATGATCCATGCAGAATCTGAAATATGGGAAAACTGTACTACAATGCCAAGATATTCCAAAGAACTAGAAGTAGTAATGTTGAAAACCAAATGTTAACTCCAGGATTTCACTTTGGGCTTTGTTGCTGGGTTTTTTTAAACCTTTACTTGCATGGTTCCTTTCTTTGGAGGTTCAAAGTACCAAATTTAAAGAACTTCAAAATGCCAGTAAGTAACTATGAACCATTCTGATTTGGCGTTTGAGAACCTGCATATTTTAACGGAGTCTGTGCTTATGACTAAAAGTTTGCAAAAAACCTTTCCACTGATCATATAAGAAAATTATACAACATTCAAGAAACTTCCACAAAGCTTCCATAGCAGTTAGTTTCTTTTTCTCTCTCTCCCTGATCATGCCATCAGCTTTTGAGTGGCATGGTAAAGGAAAATCCAGCACTAGCCCCAGCTTCTCTTTTTATAAGATGGCAATCAAGGAGTGGCTCAGCTGTGCCAAAGGGTTCCAGAAACTCATAGATGCAGATGCTTTGATTTTCATGCAATTGAAAACACAAGAAAAACCTTGCTTGGGGATTAGCCATGCTCTCCAGACTGCTTAATTCTACTATTGCTACTTTCTACTGCCTGCATACCTCAAAGGCAGCAAATCAATCTTATATGTGAGCAGATAATGGCTGAGAGTCTACCAAAAAAATAAAAGAAGCTTTCCAGAGCAGCCTGTGGGAAGAAACAAAAGCTTCGATACAGGAAGACAGAAACAGCAGGCAACAAAGCAACAGCGGATGTGGGGTAAAGAGGAAGTAATGAAAAAGTGGATTTGGAAACATGGAAAAAATGCAAGAACCCAGAGAACAGAGCAGGAAGAATCAATGGAAAACAGGAAAAAATTTATAAGTGAAGGGATCCAGAGTCAAGATGCCAGAAGAACAAGCAACTTGGCCACCAGAATAAAAAATGGGGGAGATGAACATCCTAATTCTGTAAAAGATGGAAACTGGGGTGTCATTGATCCACAGGATTCTTGGCATACATGCAGGAGTTACTGAAACGAAAAGCTGGTGAAGGGCACACACCAGGCACAGAGATGTGAACTCTGATGAATGGCAGGGAACCTGGGCAAGGTTGGCTTCTCAGGCTGCAGAATAAATGCGCAATTCCTGTGCCATCCCTGTCTCACGAAGTCCCAGAACTTTCTTCTAATCACTACAGAGGTGAATACGTAAATTGTTGTGGGAGCGA